TGTCAAGGCATAAAATCAAAGGCAGAGATACTCGCGAGCTGTTGTAATGCTGGACGCATGAGAGGTGACTGTCTTTTGTTAAAGAGCAATAAATTCCTTTTTTGGATGTTGCAATGGTGGAGGCGGAAGCCAGGAGTGTTTCATTTCATTACCTTACATTTTATCAATTTATGTCTCCATGGTAACACAGGGAAGATGTAATGTGCCTTAAATTTGATTAAAAAAACAATCTACCTATTTTAGAGCAAATCACAAAAGTCCAGTAACTACAAGCAGAAGACACACAGACATGAAGATCATAATGTGTAAAAAAAAAAAAAAAAAAAAAAAAGCGCAAAGTTTCAATTTGGAATCTTTTATTCATCAAATTAAATCATCAGTTACCGCTCAACAACAGACAGAAAAAACATTACTGCGATTTAATGTGCAACACTGTAACAGCCGTCTCAACCTTTCTGTCCTCTCTCCTCCAGCTCTGGTTCTTTTCCACTTCCTGTCCTTCAGAGTTCCTCTGAGTGGAAAGCTGATACGCAAGAAACAGAGTTCATAAAAACAAATTTTCAAAGTTAAATATTGCCAGATGGTGAGCGACACATACGACCAACTTTCCTTTACATGCATGAAAATAAATGGCTGACATTACCCAGCAATCAGTTTAAGACTGGGTGCATAAAGGGATGATTGTTTGCCTTTTGATTGGCCTTGAACTGTAGCACATCTTTCTGCTGCCATCAGTGTGAATCAGAATGACTTTTAGTTATTTTTGAATCTACGGTAAATGTTTTAAATGCAGTTTTAAATTGCCCTCAGCGGCATGTGTGCACACTTTGTCTATTCATCATAACCCTCTTAGTCAGCTACTGCAAAAGCTAAGCCCTTGATAAAACATTAGGCAGGATGAGCATCGCATGAATTGTTAATAACGGTCAAACAACTGATGGTTAATTTAATGTCAGGTGATGTTTTCTTACATGTGAGGCTTTCGGTTAGAGGATGAATACCTTCCGCCTCCTCATCAGGAGCTACCAGACTGGCTGCAAATGCCCACATCATCTCCAGCCAGTCAGTGCTCTCCTGAGGTGAGACTCCAGCAGAGCTTGATTTTATTGGACGAACTCCACCTAAAGCAAAGCAGAATAGAGATAAAGATCTCATGAATAGTATATAACTAAACAACAGAACCTTTCATTTTAATGTTTTATCTAAGCTAGAACGGCAAATCAAAGTTTCGCTGGAACGTAACTTTCTCTCAGACAGTGACCGAAACTAAACACTTTCTAAGCACTTGTCTGCACCAAAAACCATACCACAGTCAAAGTCACTTAAAATCAGCTTTCTTCCACATTCAGATGTTCAGTTTAAACTTCACCAAGTTGTCTTGACTGTGTCTACGTGCCTAAATTTACATGGAATTACCGCTATGTGATTGTCTGATTAGATATTTGCATTAACAAACAGTTCAACAGTTATACCTAATAAAGTGGCCAGTGAATGTGTACTATCCTGTATTTATTTGGACTCTAATAGAGTATCTTTGCTTTCACAGTTCAAAAATAATCCTTAGTTATCTGATCTTGGACTTTGGAAACAAGCTGTTTTAGCTCTTCTCCCTTTAAGAGGGCTTTCTTCTGATTGGCTGTCCCTCTCAAGCTCTTTTGACCTCACAGTCAGAGCTGTGTGTTCGAATATCCACTCCCACTGATATCGTGTAGAGACCAGAGTTGAAAAACCAAGGTGACACAGAGGGTTTAGAGCAGTGTGAAGCCCGCCTGAGCTTTTGGCTCATGAGGATTACAAATAAATAGACTGATGTCATCAACTGTAACTTTGGCCATGTTTAACATCCAAACAGTAAGATTTTATATGACAGACGCTTATATAAGACTTTACCCTATGAAGCTGTTCAAGCTCACACACTATGATGGGGTTTGTCACAGTTCTGTAAGCCTTGGTTTGTTTTCACAACCATATGCTAGTATACTACCATAGTATACAATATGCTATATAGTATATACTATCTAGCATAGCATAACATAGTATAGTACACTATGCGACAGGTTTATGTTTTGAATTTGGGTGTTTATGTGATGTATGCTGGCTTAGAAGTCTCTGCTTGCCTCTAGTCCTCATACTTCTCTTCGCAATGGCGGCAGGGGGAGGAAGGCCTGAGGAGAGGAG